GACAGTCCCTTCCAGGGGCAGTTATGTTGTAAAACAATCTCTTTATGTTGTATCTGAGGTCAGTCAGAAAAATGGTAGGTCAATTGCTAAGAATGTCATATGCGTGTGTGTGCGCACATATATTCATCCACCAATGGTGAATAGAGGAATTCTTTCTGCAACTTTCATATAGGAAGCATTTAACAATGTTGCATTTCTACTGTGAATACTTCACATCTACAGAATGACATAAAATAGGGTGGGAGTCATTATGAACTATGAGGGACTGAATTCTAAGGAAGAAATCTATAGGGCTTGTTGAACCCCCAGGAATCTAACTATTTTACATTGAATCTACATTTTCCTTTGTGTCTGGTTGGGGCGGCTGATTGATTTGTCCATTCATTGTGGCTACTTTGTTTTTCTAATGTTCTTATCCTTCATTTGCCATGCAATGTTTCACCTTTCTAAATACACTGCTAATTCATAGAATGCTCTGAAAAGCAATCTTTAAAAGAAAGAGGAATACCGACCCTCGGCATTATATTAAATTATACCATGGTACACTTATCCAAAAGGGTTAAGGCCAAAGAAGGAATCTGCTTGCTTGTTAAAAATGCAAGCATTACCTCAGTCGTAGGAATCGCCCCAACCCGCCCAGCCACTGCCTCTGCAGCTCACCCACCAGCACTAGCATGACATCATACGACATTAGGGAACAATAGGGAACTCTGTGTATTGCTTGAATATATTGTTTCCAAAGAATAAACTGTCATTAAGCTGAATAAAAGCTTTCTGAAATCAAACCTGGGGGGTACCGCCTTCACTGTGTGGCCCTTTTTACGGCTTTTGAAAAATAGCTTCATCCTGGAAGCAGGGCAGAGGGAAAAAAGAGATCAGCGCACAAAGGCGTCAGTGATGAGTGGGCCCTGCTGCAGCCCAGCAGGCAGACGGCAGGCTTTAAATTACCGGGCAGAACAATGTCAAAGCAGGAGGCTCCACCACAAATGCCCAAAGCACCTCAAACCTGCACCCTATGGCCTACTACAGCCAAGGGGCTTTGCTGGAATTGGGAACTGAGTCTCCTTCTCTGTGCAGAACGGTTCAAACTAATGCCATCTTAAACTGGGCTAGCACTCACGGTCACGTGACCTTCGGCAAGTACTTTAAGCTCTCTAATAAGCCTCCAAGTGTTAATGTGGAAAATGAAAACTAGCAATTTCTGTGCCAAACTAAATCACCTCAATTCCTGTAACTTGCTTCCTCCCCACCCCCCCTTCGTCCCTCCCGCACCTGATCCCTGTTAACAGAGAAGTGGGAAAAGAAAGCCCGATCAACACAACCAGGCGGCAGCAAGGGCACAATGGAAGCCCACGTGTCGCTGCCATGAAGTCAGGTGCTCTTTTAGCAAAGCCCCATTCACTCCTCACTGTTCGGTTCTCAGTGAAGATTTCAAATCTGCAAACGCCAAGCCATCTATCTCCCAGATACTTCCTCTATTATTATTATAAAATACCATCTCATAGGTCTAAAAGAGGAAAAATTAGAAAATTATTAAATACACTCAAAGGGTTTTATTTTGCTTTAAGAAGGAAAAAAAAGTATTTCCCTAAAATGGGACAAGATTTGATCATACAAGCTTCACTTGAGACTGGGGATGGGGGGACAAGGGTGGGTGGCGGGTGATACAGTTAACAGGAAGTAGAAGAATGAAAATGGAGTCTTTGAGTGGGGTCAAAGGTGAAGTTTCAACTCCTAGGAGAATGTGTGCATGCGTGTGCGTGTGCGCGTGTGCGTTTGTGTGTGTGTGTGTGTGTGTGGCAGGGAGGTTCAAGAAGGCAAGCTGAAGGTCTGCTGCAGAAAGTCCCCAGTCTTGCACACTCTGTGTGATGGAGCCGTTCTACTCTGCACACGGGGTGGTCACCAGTCGGAATTGACTGGCAGTGACTCACAACAAAGAGTCATAAAACCTGGACTACAGGCAGTACTGCCCCAACTCCAGGGGAGATGGGGTACAGCAACGGATCCATACCTCAGTTTCCAAAGGTACAAGCTATGTCTTTTCATCTGCTTGTACTGCATCCTAAGCAAGGCGATGTGGTGATGGAAATTTAGTTAATACTGGCTTCTCTGGAGAGTCACCATTATTCCTCAGAATAACAAAACTACAAAGAGGATGGTAATAAGATATAATAGGAACCCTGCCGGCGTTGTGGTTACGGGCTGGTCTGCCAAACACAAAGTCAGTAGTTTGAAACCCCCAGTCGCTCCTCAGGAGAAAGATGAGGCTTTCTACTCTCGTACAGAGTTACAGTCCTGGAAATCCACAGGGGGCATTCTACCTTGACCTATAGGGTCGCCATTAATCAGAATCAACTTGCGGCAGTGAATTTGGTTAACAGAATTTAAAGGATTGTTTTATGTAAGAGGCAGCCTGGTTACCTACTGAAGTCTAGCCTTGAAGTCTATGGGGACAGAGTGAGTCTGGAGTAAAACAGATGAAGGCCTGGGATGAATGAAATTATATTAGGATCATCTTCAGAGGACCATATATTTAGAGTGTAATGTAACTTGGATAGGATTTGAAGTTGGTATAGAAGATTCAAGTTCAACCTTCCTATCTGACTACTGTTTGATCTTACACAGTCATTCAAACTATTTAATGATATAAGAATTAAAGGGAATGATGTGTATATGTGGTGGTGAGGGCTCATTTCATACAAAAAACTAAGCAAATGTTTTATTTTATAGCAGGTTAAGGAAAGCAAGGGTTTATATTCATTTATATTTCCTAGTCTTAAAGGCCTGCGTCTATCCTTACTCTCTGGTTTGACATCAATTTTCCCTTTCTGATTTGTGGCCTGTGGACTTCATGCCCCAAACATCAGGTGTGATTGTTACAGTTTCCACCACGGAGTAAGGCGAACCCCCTGAAACAAGCAATAAATACCTATCTAAGGAGATCTGATGGTTCAGTGAGTTAAGTGTTGAATTGTGCAGGGTCAGTGAATTATGCAATGTGGCTCTCCTAGCCAAAATTGCTAAGTGCCACCAAACTCCTTTCCCTGAACGGGCTTGGTCAGAAGCTGGGTGAATACTGATAGGATTTACCTGTGAGTAACTAACTGTTAACAGGCTTCACTGGAGTGCCATCCTGCTGGGTCTGAAAGGAGCCCTCTAGAAGCAAGAGGGGTAATGTGACTACAAGCAAGATCCAGGAGTCCTCTGGACCTGAGATCCCTGTACACGAATCTCCTGGTTTCAGATGACATTTGTATCATCAGCAAAGCTGCAGCAGGACCATGAGCAAGAGCATGAAACAGCGTGGTGGTCCTCCCAGCCCACGGAGCAAGTCAAGCTGGGGAGCTTCTGGGCACGTAATGGGGGAAGCTGGGTGCCTCTGAGCATTTAATTTAGGGAGGTGGGTTTGCTGATTCAACAAGCTTGAGCTGAATGCCTTTGGGTTGAGGCTTAGGTCAGAGTGGCATGCCCTTTGAACATTTATTAGCAGCCTTGAAGGAACTTCGTAACATATCCTGAAGAACAACTGTATCCTGAGCATTTTTCACCTGTAGTACAACCTATTAATTTCCTTAATAAATCCTATAATCATTAATATTGTCTGCGAGTTCTGTGTAACCATTGCAATGTATATCAGAACCTAGATGAAAAAGTAGATACTGCCGTTAGAGACCACTCAGCACTCTAATTGAAAGGTGGGTGGCTGGAATCCACCAGCTGCTCTGTGGGAGAAAGACGTGGCTGTCTGCTTCTCAAAGGCTTACATTTCAAAAA